TTTGATCCATTTAGCTCTATTCCTTGGAGCACTCATGTTAACTTTTGGAAGATTGTTCTCTATGGCCATTTGCAAATCAAAGAGACAATAATATTTGACTTGTCGCATCATGAATATCTTGAGTGCATTTAGTCCTAGGTCTTTGTCCTTTTGAGATAAATATGGAAAATTGACAAATCTGTAATAGTAGAATAGCTGAATGAGATCTTCTTCAACAACGTAGTACAGATCAGCTTTGGATGATCTTTGAATCATTCCATTTTGTCGTTCAAACTCAAAGATCGGATAGAATGTTTTTCCAATGTTATGAATCTCTATTGCTTTAATCCCTATGATAGGTGAATCAGTGTGCTTAGTCAATCTCTTTCTGTGTCCATATGGATCATTCTGATCAGCAGACATATTTCTCAGCATCCAAATGTGACCGGAGGCGTCTGTTCCTTTCAAATGTTCTAGTCCTCGTAGCTCAAGCTCGTCAATCTTCTTGATTCCTTTCTCACTTCTCCAAATTCGTGGTCTGAGATCTTGGTATGGAACAATGATCTTGACGTTTTCCCAAGGTGTTTCAAACCAGTTTTCTATATTGGAATCACCTGGGCGTCTCTTGATTAGATCTTTGACAATGTGAAAATCAGGAAGTGGATCATCGTAGAATTCTCCTTGAGCATACTCTTTAGGTTCAAGTCCCATTAACTTTTCTGCAGCGGTTTTCTTGATTTCTCGAATGAAATTCAGCTTCTTGAGAGCATCTGCGTTGTTCAGCTTCTGAAGTTTATCTTTCTCATTGTCTTCAATCCATTCGAGTAATATCAGATCAGCAGCTTTCTCTTTGAGCTCATTTTCCTTTGGCTTTGAAGACGGTGGTTGATCAGTAGATCTAGGCTTTGCAACCTGTGGGACTTGTGTAGTTGTAACTGGAGGGACAGATGTGGGTAATGTAACACCGGGGTCACAAAGACTTACCGTTTTCATCATACTAGAGATGAACTCGTTCTGATGGCCTGAAGACAATGGTGATTCATATGTTGCATTGTCAGGACTTCCTTCCAATCCTTGGTCAACATCCATGAAGGATGAGCCTATAGAAGTTCTCGAGGGGACACAAAGTCCTGGCTCAGTGTTAATGGGCTCGGAAAGGTGATAAACGGTTCAGAGCTAGTGGATGATGGAATGATAGATTGAGATGTGGTTTGCTCACAAGCACATTGCCTTTTCTCCCCCTCATGATGATCCGAATCATCGGTGTCATCATGCTTACGCTTAGGCAAGCGTTCTTGATCACGGCAAGTGGTGGATGGAATGAATGGAGGGGTGAGGGCTATGATGTTTCGTACTTGAATGAGGTGAGGTGGGAGGATGGGTTCGGATAGGAGTCTATCAAGGAAGTACTCGGATAAATCAAGAATGTTCATTTGTTTTGGGTCAGGGTTTGAGGTAGATGGTGTGGATATGATGGAGGTGGATGTGATGGTGGATGGAAGAGTTCCTATGCAGGGAGTTGGGTGTGATCCTTGGTCTGCTATGCCTGTTGGGACTATAGGACGTAGGTCTTGTAAAAGTGAAAGCTTGAAGGCTACAAGTTCAGACCTTAGATCCTTCCTAGTTAAACTAGAAAAAGAAGCAAATCCTGACCTATATGAAGTATCAGTTCTCACAGCACCACTAAAAATAGCGGTGCCATGGCCTGCTGGGGAGATCAGTGTGGCAGGACTTCCAACCATCATTGTCGTACCTCTGGTTGTTATGACAGGTGGTAATGAGCCTGTATCAGTGTGTGCAGAAGTAGAAGGTTGTGCCCTAGAAAATGATAAAAAATTTGGGAATGTGGACACATGACCTAATGTGCATTGGGTAGTAGTGTGGAGTGGTTCACTGATGGGTTCCCCTTGTGGGATTGAAACAACCATCTGTTGGGAGACAATTGAGTGGTCTAGGCTTGGCTCATTTTGCGCTATTGAACTCGATGTACCTATGGGCTGAGTTCTACTCGGGAACTGAAAACGCCAGAACCTATACCTATGGGCTGAGTTCGGTGTATTTCAGTGACTGGTGGTGATGTAACAATTAAAGCACTAGAGGAGGAGACATCAGCTCTCTTGGACTGAGTCTCACCTGCCCTCTTTTTGGTCTTAGTCACTCTCGGACCCTTACTTCCACTCGATTTTGATTTTCCTTGGGTAGACACAGTGGGGTTTGACTACGTCATAGGAAAAGAAGAGATACTAACTTTGTATTCAGCGACGTGCGGATCATTTAGAGCAGCAAGGTTGAGAAGAGCATCAGGAATTTGCATGGGCTGCATATCAGGAGTGTTCTCAGAGTTCTTGAAGTGAATGAGTTGAGGAATGACTTGCAGCTCTGTTGGTGGCCTTTGTGGAATGTTGGCATCTTCTTTCATGAAGTGGTCGATTAGAATTGAGAACCAACGTACATATGGGATGTACTTGCTCTTATTGTTCGATGCCCTTGTGCTCAGTTTCTCTAAGATTTTGAGCCATATCAGCTGCGCCCAGTCATAATTCTTTGAAAACATCACACCGTGGACCAGCTTTAGAATGTGAATGTTGCATTGGTCATGGCTTATTTGCTTGGATGAGAGGCACTTGTTTAGAATGGCAAAGAGAGTTTTCCACGGTCCTGGTAGTTTGTTGCTGATGAATTGAGAAGATGAGGTCATAGGAGGTAGATGGCCTATTTTCAACATGTCAGAGAAGATTGTGGGCGGCTCAGGGAATGGGTCGTATTCAGATTATATGGGTAGGTGAAGGAGGGTACGGAATGTGTTTTGGGTGATGATGATGGTGGAGTTGGCTAGTGTGGCTTGGAGAGTGGGTGTGGGATTGTCAGTGGTATGCATGGTACCCCAGAGCTGTCTCAGGTAGATTTTCGGGGCTTTGACAGACAATGTGAGTGCTGGCCACAGAGGATGCCCTTTGAGTATTGAGATCACCACTTTGTCTTGACATTTGAGCACAGTTGGATCCAACAAATAGTTGTTGTCTTTAATGCCGATCCAACTTTCCTTAGGATACACTTCCTCCTCAGATAAGAATGTCATTTCCTGAATTTGCACAGATAAGAACACTTGTGATTAGTAAAGAATGGTTTTGGGCTAAGCTGATTTGGGCGTTGGGATTTGGTTGAGGAATTGGTAAGTGGGCTAAAATGAAATTGGGCTTAGGATTTAGGAAAGTGGAGTTCGGGTCAAAAGATTTTGGGAGCCCATCTCTTAATGATTTCGGGTGCCCGTTAAAAGATCTCGGATTGGGTTTTTCCAGATAGGAGGATTTCAGGAGTGTAGAGTTTAGGGGGTAGGATGTCGGGTAGGTATTTCGAAAGGGATTTCGGGTAGGGAACTCAGATAGGAATCTAGGATGATTTCGGATGGAAATTCGGTAGGGGGATTTTGGTAGAGATTTCGGGTCAATTTAATAATTTCGGAGGCCCGGTAAGATAGAAGGATTTCGAAAGGATTTTGGGGAGGGAATCTCGGATGTGGTTTTCAGGTAAGGTTTTCGGGTTGGACTTTTGGCAAAGAAGATTTTGGGAGAGGAATTTCGGGAGAGGGATTTCGGGAGAGGTCGTAATGATGAAAGATCTCGGGAAAAGGAATTCGGCAGGGTATGTTTCTGAGATTGGGATTTTTGGTCTAGATTTCGAGTGGGATTTCGGGTGAAGGGATTCGGATGGGTGTGATGTGAATGATTTCGGATGGCAAGCTTTTGGGCTATGGGAGTTTAAAGGTTTCGAAGATGGGAAGGTGAAGGTCGTCGGTGAGGAGAGGGGTGTTTAATGATGATTGTCGACGGTGAGGGGTGGTTGCTGGTGGTCTGCGCCGGTTTCCTTCACGTCGTTTTTGAACCAGTGTACCTGCAATAAGAACACACTCTCACACACATGCAAACTTATGAAGAAGAGTTTGATAACCTTGAGAATGAAGAGGATGATGACCGAAGAAGATGAAGTTGGTAACTTTTGGAAACCTCTGAGTGTTGAAGATCAATAGTGCGTGAAAAGAGAGAGAGAGAGAGAGAGAGAGAGAGAGAGAGAGAGAGAGAAGGAGAGAATGGAAAAATTAAACAGATTTCTTTCTTTAAGTACCCACAGAAGAAGAAAGTGAAAATCTTTTTGTGTTTTTCTGATTTTGGAAACTGACTCAATTTAACTGACTAAAATTCCTAGACTTACTCAAATAAAAGAAAAATATTTTTGTGATTTTCAATTTTATAAAAAAGTTGCGGATACTGAAAGAAATTAAATTACTCCCCCTCAATTGTAGCACTCAGATCAGACTAATTTTGCTCCCCTCAATGTTTGCACATGTTTAGGGAAACAGACTGACAGACCAAGAAACTGAAAAAAAATTAAGAATTGACACGACAAAACAAAACAAAAAAATTAAAACAAAAAGATGAAAAAAAAACTCCCCCTATACTTGTGCATGATTTAAAATTCCAAATTCAGCATTCCCAGTTTAGAGACCAGGAACTGAAATCTTTTCTCGTCCAGAGCTTTTGTGAATAGATCAGCCAATTGTAGCTCAGTGCACACAAAGTATAGGTCCACATGACCTTTTTCAATATGATCTTTGATGAAGTGGAATCTCAGATCAATGTGCTTAGTGCGAGAATGATGAAATGGGTTACAAGAGATAGGAATCGCACTTTTTGAGTCACTGTAAATCGGAATGTGGTCAAAGTAGAATCCAAAGTCGCGTAGTTGAGTCCTCATCCATAGTACTTGTGAACAACAACTAGCAGCATCAACATATTCAGCTTCTGCCGTAGATGTAGACACACAATTTTGCTTCTTTGAGGACCAACAGACCAGCTTTTCTCCAAGAAATTGAGCACTACCAGAAGTACTCTTTCTATCCATTTTACATCCAGCGAAATCCGCATCAGTGTACGAAATGAGATCAAATGCAGTCTCCTTAGGATACCAGAGTCCTAGATTAGGAGTTCCTTTTAGATAACGTAGAATCCTTTTCACAATAAGCAGACGGGATTCCTTTTTTTTTAAAGAGAGGAATTTTATTGAAAAGGAAAAGTAAATAGTACAGAGAAAGAGAAATGAAAAAAAGAAAATAAAAGAAGGGAAAAAAACCATACAGAGAAAGAAAAAGCTAAAAACTACACCAAAGGAAATTCTCTGGCCTAAGACCTTGTAGTCATGCTGTGCCGCCTTTTATTTTTCTGAGGTTTCCTGTAGATTTTGAGCTGCGTGTTTAGGTTTTCTGTCGGTAGGCAATTTTCAGCGGTAACAAACTTGGATTTTCTGCAGATCGCTCTGTTGAATTTTGATTTCCTAATTTCTTCTGGAGTTGAGATAGGAGGACGACGCTCATTTTCAGTGGCATGACCCAGAAATTCGTCCATGAAACCAGAATCATCAGATTGGTAAAAGGTATCTGAAGCGTCCGAGTAAGCCTGGACAGGCAGAGGCCGCTCTACTGGAGTAGGAGAGTTTTGTTTCTGTGAGTAAGCCTCTCGAATTTGGGATTCCAAAATAAGTTTTGATATAGATTTTGGTTCCTCCGAAAGAATCATGGTTTCTTGTAGCATATCCATTCCTGTCTCCTGCACTAAATTGCTCAGTCCAACAAAATTTGATAATATAGCCATGATAGTAATTAAATTGGAATTGTTTGGGCCCATGGGGATTATAATGAAGCTACCCTTTTCTTTAGCAATCTTCAGATACCACCCTGAATTGTTGCAATTTGAGGAGACCGTGATAGGACCAAACCTTCTGTGTTCTTTAAAATTATCTGATCGGGAGAGATGGTTTATATATCTGAAGATCTCGGGCTCTTTATTTTTTTTGAAATCCATCCTATGCAGTGAGGATTTTTTAAATTCCAAAATGACCAGATCATTTTTCGTGACGGCAAATCTAAAGGTCTTTAATTCAATATTGATAGAATCAAAACCTTCCTCTCCAAAAAATTGGAACGTTTCTGAAGCCTCGAATAAGTCATCCGTAGAGGGCAATATTTTAGCCGGATCCAGACTTGCTGACTCTATAGGAGTTGTTGACTTTCCTTTTGACCTAGGTGTCAGCTTTGCTTTATAATTGGTAGGTGTATTTTTTTGTCCGAATTGGTCTTGACCACGTCTTCCCATGTGAGGTTTAGAATGGGGTCTGTCCTTTCTGCCTCGTCGATGTACTGGATGTCGAAGGTGGGTCTCTCAGCTGCAGAGCTTGGCGCAGAGCAGGATGAGGCTTCTGCCAAGGATTTGTCGCGTCTGCTACCTCCTCCCAGCTGCGGTGGCTCTTCATCGCAGAGATGAAGATGTTATCTTGAGCTTCCTATCGCCTTACTGTTATTGAATGTCATAATCCTCTGGCTCCGATTGTCACGGCTGAAGTTTCTGTCAAATCGATTGCGTTCCTCTCTAGGTCTGTGAATTTTGATTTCCAGGGCCGAACTACTAGATTCATATTCGTAATCAAAATTGTTGGCCAGTAGTAGTTGTTGGTACCGGTTGTTGACACTCTCTACCCAATTGAATTCAGAGACGATACTTTTGCGAGGTTGAAGTCTGCGTTTGGGATGGGGATGCCGTCGTCCCCTGTAGATGACGGTGCGCCAGCCCTCATCTTCCCCCGTTTGGGGTTGTTGATGAATCTGGGCATCTCGTCTTCGTCCCATCGAATTTGGTCCTGGGATTTGGGGGTGACATGGTCTGTTTTGAATAGAAATTAAGGCGTGTGGACTGTGAGAGATGGGATTCCTTTGGATTTGCTTGAAAGCGAGCACAGAGACAAGTAGCAAACATAATATCAGGTCGACTTGAGGTCAGATACAGTATCGAACCAATCATTCCCCTATAAGAGGTAACATCAACAGGCTTTCCTGATAGATCAGTATCAAGTTTACAAGTAGGAGTCATCGGGGTTTTCACAGGGGTGCTATTCTCTTGACCGTGTCTCTTTAGCAAATCATGAATGTACTTGGACTGATGAATGAAAATTCCGTCTTCCAAGAAAGAAATTCATTTCACCCATCATTCTCATTTCGAAATTAGATTGCATCAGACTTCTGAATGCAGTGCATAGTGCTGGATCAGTGGAACCAAAAATGATGTCGTCAACATAGATCTGAGCCAAGATGATGTCAGACCCATGACGCTTGATAAAGAGAGTAGTATCAATTGTTCCTTTTGAAAAGCCAGAATCAACCAGGAAGTCAGACAGTTCCTCATACCAAGCTCTCGGGGCTTGTTTGAGTCCATACAAAGCTTTATCCAGACGATAAACATGATCTGGATATTTCTTACTGATGAAGCCTTCTGGTTGATCCACATAAACTTCTTTCAAGATCCCGTTCAAGAATGTTGTTTTGACGTCCATTTGATAGATGGTGAAGTTCTTATGTGTCGCATAAGCCATGAACAGTCGAATGGCTTCAATGCGTGCTACTGAAGCAAACGTCTCATTGTAATCAATACCTTCTTGTTGATTGTAGCCTTTCGCAACTAATCGGGTCTTGTTACGAATTACGATCCCGTCTTCATCCTTCTTGTTTTTGAAAATCCACTTAATGCCTATGATTGATTTACTAGGGGGCCGAGGCACAAGTGACCAAACTTTAAGTCTCTCAAACCGATTGATTTCATCTTGCATGGCGATTATCCAAGCAGGATCAGCTAACGCTTCTGTGACATGAGTAGGCTCAGTTTGACTTAGGAAACAGGAAAACAGACATTCATTCTAGGTGGCAGATCGTGTGCACACTCCACTTGAAGGATTTCCATGTATGAGATCAGGTGGATGATCACGTGTCCATTTTCTAACATCAGGGAGTGGTTGAGCATTATTGTTAGGTTGCTGATCAACATAAGGGTTATCAGCATGAGGAACAGATGAAGATGTAGGATTAGTGGCCTGATGTAGGAGCAGGCGTTGCACCTGATGATGTAGTAGTGGGTGGAGAAGATGGATCGTGTGGTTGTGGAATCTCGTAAATTTGGTCAAACAGGTGATCGAGATCCACGGAGTTGGAATCAGGTTTAGCCCTATTTTTCCTTTTCTCCTCTTCTTCCTCAATAGTTTCAGAAGCACTAGTGAATTTCATAAGTTTGGTTAACCCTAATTTCATATATCTTATGTCGTAAAGCTGAATGCAATCGACCTTTTTCAAATTTTCAGGATTTCAAAAGCCTAATCCTTCTCTAGGGTTGTAAAACTGAGTATCCTTGATTTTAGTATTCAAAAGATGAATTGCTTGTTCGGTTTGACCATTTTTAGCTAGGATATCTTCTAACTCCTTTATCTTAGAGTAAAGTTGACCTCGTTCTTTGTTAATCAGATCATAGCGAATAACAACTTCAGAACGTTGTCGTTTATTCTCATCATGTTCCTTAGTTAAGTCACTAATAGTTTGCTTAAGCTTAGTTACTTTTGACTCTAACTGAGACACTCTATCACGTGAATCTTTTAAGCGAGCAGTTTCAAATGCTCCTTCCAACACTTGTTTTTCCAAAACTTTTTGATTATTAGCAAGTGTGTCTTCAAGTTCCTTTATTTTGTTTTTCTCTCTTTTAAGAGAAGTGATTAACTCTTTCATCTTGTCATTTTGTTGAGAAACTAAAGATTTTAAGTTACTTACCTCATTCTCAGCAGATGTAGCACCATTGTCTTCTTCTTCAGAGTCATCACTTTCAGTTCCAGATTCAGTTACCCTTGCCATCAGTGCCAAATTCTCTGGCTCACTATCTTCAGAATCTTCGAGCCAGCTATCATGTTCAGTCATCAGGACAACTCCTTGCTCCTTTTGTTTAGCAAGTTGAGCCTTCTGCATATAGTAATTGAAGTCCTTCTTCTTGGTAGATCGGCATTCTTTAGCAAAGTGTCCTGGCTTTCCACATTTGAAACACTTCATTGAGTCACTGCTGACAGCCTTATCAGATGGTCTGCTGACTCTTTCAGAGTAATTTGAGGAAGAAGTTCTTTGTTTGTTGTTTGTTGCAGGATTTCTGAATTTGGTGAACTTCTTGTTTATTTTCCTCGTCATGTTTGTTAGCAAAGCCAGCTCTTTCTTTAGATCATTAATCTTCGAGTCAGAATCAGACATATTCTTCACTTCATCGGATGAGTCATCTTCAAAGGTAATTTTAGGGGCCTTATCTTTCTTCTTTTTCTCATATGTGAGGAGAGCAAGTGTGTCAACAATGTTCTTACTTTTTGAAGAATTGACTTTTTCACGAATATCCTCAGAGAATTCACCTAGGCAGTCATAGAGGTTATGGATGGTCAGCTCATCTAGGTCTTTGTTTTGTCTGATTCGTTTGGCAGTTTTCTTCCATTCGGGCTTCAGAGACCTCAGGAAGTGAAGGTTAACTTCCATATTGGTTTTGCGGATATTGATATTCTTCATATCATTAAGGACCATGAGAAAACGTTGATAGGTGTCCTCCAGTTCTTCATCAGGTCTGGCAGCAAAGGAGTCATAAGTGGTCAGGGTGTGTGCTCGTTTGGACTTAATTCCAACATCAGTGCCTTGCATGATTTGATGAATTTTATCCCACAAATCCTTAGCAGTGGTAAGGCTATCAATTTGCATAAACAAGTCATTTGGAATGGCTTGTAACAGGTAAGTGGCAGCAAGTAGATCAGCCTTTGCTCTCAGTTTCTCGGGTTCAGTGTAATCATCTTCAGATTTCAGTGCTTTGCCTGCTGGTGTGGGAGGATTGATTTTTTGTGTCAATAGCTAGAACATCAACCCGAACTTCGAGTGGTCCTTTATTAAGAGAGTCAAGAATATTCTTTCCATTGTCTCGGCTTCGAATGAAATTGAGGAAACGGACATTCCAGACAGCAAATTCTCCTCTCCTAAGCAGATGAGGTCTTGAATCACTTCCAAGTGTGTAAGCTTCCATGACTGTTGTTTGATCTTAAGGCGAGAACTGTTCTGAAGAAGTAAGATTTCGGTACTGCTTTAAAAGGATTTCGGATCCTTATTCCAGAAGAAGATTTCGGGTGCGTCCAAAATTAGAAACTCGGATGAATGTATTTCGGTTGTTTAGAATTTCGGATAGGCTGATTTCGGATGTCCGAAATTGTGATCTCGGATGAAGTCCGAAATTTAAAATAGGAAACCTGATTTCGGATGATTAGAGTTCGGGGGTCCGAAATTACAAAATCGGAAGTGCTGATTTCAGGTTTCCGAAATTGGAAACTCGGATGCTTATATAGGTCTTCTGAAATTGAAAGATCTCGGATGAGAAAAAATATGGTAACTTGATCTTCATTGGGATTCTCCTTCTGTAGCTTTCCTTGTAGTAAAAACCTTCTAAAACAGAAAGTTTCCAAGAACAGATCTAGAGACTAATTCAACCAAAAATTGTGATTTTGATCAAATTAATTCCAGAAAAATTCAAGGAATCAGATGAACAGAATTGCGCCGAGGCTCTGATACCAATTGTGTGATTTATACCCAGATACAACAGTCGATTATTCTAAGAATATTGATAAGAATTTAAACAGTAGAAGAGAAATTTCATCAATAACGTATTACGTGTATATAGAATGATGAATCCATGAAGAACAGTTACACGATATATGAACGAATAAGCTGGAGAGAGAAATTCTAATCTACTGGCTCTACAGAGAATGATATGCAGAATAGAATGTGTAGAGACTTGTAGAGCAGATTCGGCCATCCCTACCTGTATTTATGGGAGAGATGTCCGAACTGCCTAATACAATTAGGAAACAATATGGGCCATGCGTGTGGGCTATGTAGAGCATTGAAATCGGGCCTAATTCTCTCTCAGCTAATCTAATTAAGTACACAGACTCATTAATTAAATTAAAATTAATTTGAACACAATAAAATAATATTCTAACAATAAAATATGTTGAGTTGCTCCTCTTTTGTCTTGATCTTCAGTGGAACTCAGCTTCCTTTGTCTTCATGTTGAACTCGACTTCTTTAGATGGCTTTCTGAAGAAATCCTAGCAATCTCCCCTTTGATGTCTTCTTGGCAATTTGATCTTTGATGTCGGGGTTGAGGAATCTTCAATGTCTTGCATGTAGTCCTTGCCTTCCAGAAGTTGGTCTTGATCAGCTTGGCTTAAATCCGGTGGCGCCTCTAGAATGAATGTCCTTGAAGAATTGCAGACGCACATGGGATTCTGATTACCTGACCTCTGTCTCCTCCATAATGTAGTCTTTTTGACTATTTGAGGTGAACGCTTTTGAGGAGAACCAGTCGGTTCCACAGCGGAAAATGATGATTGACTTGTGAGCGTAGCTGACCATTTGATGTGAAGCTGACTTGGCAGTTTTGATGATTTTAGAGAGTAGAGAGTCGTCGTTTTTTGTGTTGGAGAAGTATCCGAGAATGATTTTTGAGAGTAAACCGCATGCGGACTACTCTCACCCTCATGACGATCCGATGATTTGGGACATCATGCCTTTATTTTTTTATTCTGTGAAACAAAATAGAAAAAATAAAAAGGTAAACACCGGAGACACCATGGTGTTCCGTTATCACAATCATCAATGTAAACACTGACGTGTGGCCTGTATAAAAATGATAGAAGCATTAAAGCTCTAACAGGACATCCAACCAGTCATTGTGAGGCATCTAAAGTAGATGTCACTCTGGTTGTTATGGCATGATCATAAAGATCAACAAAGATAACGTAGCCCCCCGAGGTCGTGTTGACACCCGTTATCATCACTATAGAGATAAACTCTGAAGCGATGGCCTGAACATGTTGGTGAATTCTGTGTTGCAACAGTAGGACTTCCTTCCAATCATTGGTCTTCATCTATAGTAGATGATCCCTATGGAAGTTCTCGCGGGTCATGAAGACCTGCAACTGACTCTAAAAAGTGTCTGTGTCCTAGAAAATTCAAAACATTTGGGAGTGAGATTACTAGGCACGACGTGATCAATGAATGTTCAGTGGCGTGGGGCTGTGGGCCACTGTAGTCAGTATCAGTCGCCTCAGAAGGAGACCATGATTAGAGATGAGGTTCCTCGTGAAATATGATTAAACACATGTTTATTGGGAGACAGGTGAGTGGTCTTGGGTAGGGTTGTGCATGCACCGTTTGGACAAAATGCAGGGACTTCTACCCGGGATCTGAATAAATTCAGTCCTGAACCTATGGGGATTGTCCAGAGTATTTGAGTGACTAGGAGTAATTCTCTCGATTGGTAGCACAATAGAGGTAGCAGATTTGACAGTGATTATTGTTCTTTTGCTCACTTGAGCTTTCTGCTTCCTCACTCTCATAGTGTTCACACAGTTACTCACTCACTCTCGGCTTTGTCCCTTGGGTAGGCTTAGGTTGGTTTACTAATCCATTAGGACTTATCTCTCATTTCTCTTTACTCTTTTCTTTTCTTTCTGTACTCCCCCTCAACTGGAGAACTCACTATGATGCCTTTCACGATGGTTGGCGCTTGAGAGGAGAACTTTGAAAACTCCCCCTCAAAATTTGCATCCTCAAGAAAATCCTTGCATTTTATATTGTGT